AAGAGAATTGATGTTCAGTTAACTGAACCAGTTCTCCAAACAAAAATTCACGATTTTGAACAACAAATTCAAAATACAGTTTGTTTTGATCTACCCACTACTTTTTGGCACAAAAAAAGACATTCTGTGAAGTTACCTTATATTAAAAGATTCAAGAGAAAATATATTCCTACTAAAGCCAGACCAATTCAAATGAGTCTTGAAGTCATGGAATTTTGCAAAAAGGAAATTAATGATCTTCTACATAAGAAGATTATTAAGAAAAGCAAGTCACCTTGGTCATGCCCCGCCTTTTATGTTCAGAAAACTCTGAACTAGAAAAAGGTGTTCCTCGTCTAGTCATCAATTACAAACCTCTAAATAAGGTTTTAGAGTGGATTAGGTATCCTATTCCCAATAAAAAAGATCTTATTAGTCGCCTTAGTCAAGCAATTATTTTTTCCAAATTTGATATGAAATTAGGCTTTTGGCAGATTCGCATCCGCAAGAAAGATAGATACAAAACTGCCTTCACTACTCCCTTTGGTCATTATGAATGGAAAGTAATGCCTTTTGGATTAAAAAATGCTCCTAGTGAATTCCAAAATATCATGAATGATATTTTCAATCTTTATAGTCACTTTTCCATTATTTATATTGATGATGTTCTTATCTATTCCAAGTCCATTGATAAACATTGGAAACATTTGAAATCGTTTCTAGCAACAATTCAAAAAAATGGTCTTGTTGTTTCTGCTACAAAAATCAAGTTATTCCAAACCAACGTCAAGTTTCTTGGTTATCTATCAAGGTCAAATTCGTCTCATTGATAGGTCTCTTCAATTTGCTGATAAATTCCCAGATCAAATTTTAGAGAAATCACAGTTACAGCGATTCTTAGGGTCTCTAAATTACATTGCTGATTTTTACAAAGATCTTCGCAAGCAATGTAAACCCCTATTTGATCGACTTCAGAGTAACCCCCCTCCATGGACTTCTGTCCATACTGATATCGTCAAATCTATTAAGCGTTATGTCAAGTCTTTGCCTTGTCTTGGCATTCCAACTACTGATTCTTTTAAAATAATTGAAACCGATGCCTCTGACATTGGCTATGGTGGCATCCTCAAGCAACGAGTCAGTCCAAATGCACCTGAATAATTAGTTCGATTCCATTTTGGTGTTTGGACAAAAGCACAAAGTAACTATAGTACTATTAAGAAAGAAATTTTATCTGTTATTTTATGTATTAGTAAATTTCAAGATGATATTTTGAATCAAAAGTTTTTACTCAGAGTTGATTGTCAAAGTGCAAAATATGTTTTAGAAAAAGATGTTGAAAATATTGCTTCTAAACAAATTTTTGCCCGGTGGCAAGCTATATTAAGTATATTCGATTTTGATATAGAATATATCAAAGGAAGTAACAATTCTATTCCAGATTTTCTTACCAGAGAATTCTTGCAGAAATCTGATGGCTGACCGACAGCCTCCCTAGAAGCCCCAATTAGTTAAACCATTTGATATTTGCTCAAGTAAAGCCCCAGTCACCAGATCACAATCCCAGTTACAACAGTTCTCTGCTCTAGTTGTCACTAACAGGTTTCAACCACTTACTTCTTAGTTACCCTCTTTCAAGTCCGCTCTAGTTGATCCTGCACCTGATCCTTTCCAAGATACTACTAGACGCTCACACCAGTCACCTATGCCAAGAGATACTACCAAATCACCAAGTAACTACATTGAAAAACCAGTTCAACCCTTATTTTACATTGAGCCCTCTCTTAGTCACATACAGGACCCCATTGAACTAGCCCGGTCCTATTTTCCTCCTAATCTTCATTACCTCCCCAGTCAACCCTTTAAGTCACTCCAATTTTACAAAAATATTCTGTATTCCTCAAAGTCCATCCGTATTAACAAATTTTTTGATAAAACTGATAAGACAAAGGTTCTCTACCATTCCCTCTATATACAAAAAATCATGTCCTTAGATGAATAGGATACTCACCCTGCTTTATGCAAACCATTACCTGATCATGATTATGTATTAAATACCATGATTACATGAATGCCTGGTTCATCATCCTGCTTCACCAAAATGAGTCCTTCACTCATTCCTGGTTTCTCAATTTTGATAACCAATTCAATTACAAATCGCCCATCCCTACCTGGTTCATAAAATGGTGGTCTCAGTATGGCTCCATTCCAGAAATCTTGCCCCTAACTCTTGCCAAACAAATCAAATATTTCCACACTGTTTACAAAGTTAGTAAACATAACTCTCAGTTCCCTATCCTCCTTCTGTTCTCCTGCAAATACAAAGTTCCTTGGATTTTCAAATGGCAATATGATATCCAAGGCACACTAGTTATCCGTTGTCACTATGTCAAATGGTGGGACACATTCCAAATTGATAGAATCATTGGTTACATTGAGGGAGAATTTCCCCAGCAGTTACCCACACCAGTCACAGCGGTTTCACAACCACAACAAGTAACCCAGCACAAACAGACCTCTTCTGCAACTACCTCTAAATCCAAGAAAACTCCCAAATCGGAGATTGAAGAGCTCAAGAAAATGGCTGCTTCCTTAACAGATCGCCTCCAAGAGCTATCCCTAGAAGAGGAAGAAGCTGATGATGCATCTTCTGAAGCTGAGTCTAGTCACCCAGTTCATTTATATGATGACTCAGTATTCCAAGATAGTCAAAATCCCTATGATGATCCTTACTAAGGATTTTAAGGAAAAGTCAACATTGCTACAGTAACAGGTCAAAGTCACTATTTCCACAGTAACTGTCGGCAGAATTACTATTTCAATAGTGCTCCCGACAAAACACTATTCATCTACAGTAACCGTCGGCACAAACGATAGGAACAATAACTCACTATTCACTAACAGTTATAGACAGTCCGAAAAGTCAAAGTTACTTTTTGAAAGCCGGAAATTTCGCCTCAAATGTCTCCAGCCTCGCCTATAAATGCAATGGTCAGTCCCATTGTTCTGCATGATTCATTCAGGCTACTCTTCTAGATTTTGAAAGAGAATTCAGGCTTCCATATCCAGTTCCAATTGTAATATTCAGTTCTTATTTATTTACCCTTTCTGAGTGTAATACTTCGCCAATATGTTGTATTCTTCAGACCTCTATCAGTTACATTAATTTGTAAGTTTATTTCAGTAACCTTTTGTGTAATTACTTTCTGATTTTAATATCAGTTTAATATTCAGTTATTTATCTTGTTATATATCTTGGTCGTTTATATACCGCCTTAATTAATTTACTTTGTTATATATATATGCTTGGTCGGTTATACACTGCCTTATCTAATTTAAAGTTTAACTTCTTTTAAGTTATTGTGCGCTTCCCCTTTTGTTATTTCAGTAACCTTTTGTGTAATTACTTTCTGATTATATATATATGCTTGGTCAGTTATACACCGCCTTATCTAATTTAAAGTTTAACTTCTTTTAAGTTATTGTGCACTTCCCCTTTTGGTATCGAGCCATTTATTGGTGAATATTTGAGTAATATATATATATATATATATATATATATATATATTACAAGGCAAGAAGGGTTAGAAGTTAGATTAGTAGGTGCAAAGAGTTGAAACTTGGCACTCCCAAAATCCACCTGAGGCACTAACCACTGAGCTATCGAGGCATCTGTATATATATATATATATATATATAAGACAATTCTTTGTGTAGTAAAGGGATCAATAGAATTATTTTCTTAATTTTTTTTTAAAAAAAAATCTAGTGTAATCCAACAATTATATAGCATGTATGGGAATTTCATAACCATCATCATCTTTGCCTTATTCCCATAGAGTCGGCCACATAAATTATCTATCTCCATTCTTTTTTATTACCCATATAACCTGCTATGTTTAATTTTGTAAAGTTAATTCTAATAATTTCATTGGAGTTATTTTGTGTTGCCCTTCTCTTACCTTCTAGGGAGTTTGGTTAAATGCAATTTGGGTATCATTGTTAGTTTGTGAATTTTAGAAGACTATTAACGTCCTTTCAGTTAATAAACTAAATGGTTTGCAGTAGCTCGATAGCTACCCTAGTAATGAGATTGTTTGAAGTTGAAATTCCTGTCAACCTCTTTTAAATTTATAAAAGAGTAATGCTATTTGTACCCACTTTTCAAGCCTATTTGTCTAGCTGATAGGATTTTCATTCATGTGATGTATTGATAAAGCTCAAGTGTGGGTCTCATCCACCAGATCAAATGATCAAAGGGATATAAATCCTTAAGCTACACAAATAGGCTTGAGATATTGGTTCAAGAATTATTTCACCTTAATTAAAATAGGCAAATATGTCATACCATCAAAAAAATTTGACATTATTGACGGCTAGTTAACGCCGACGGGTAACACGCCACTTTGTGTAATCAAGAAAACCTTAGGGATATGTGTGCAATAATTTATCTTCTCTATATATAATAGTCCATCACATATTTGAAGAGTAGTGGTGATTGATGGAACCAAGTTAATCAACACATCTCTTAATGTTTAATACAAGTCCCAACAATCCGATGTTTACAGGTTTGTCACATTTTTAAATTTATTCATGTTAGATTATAAGTTTATCCTTTTACCTATTATCTAGGTTTGCTACACACTAGACATTATCATGTATGATTACATCTACCATTTTACCATTTATAAGTTACTTGTGCATGACTCATCTACTTATGAACTTCTCCAATATACAGGGTACTATTGTACTGATTGCACAATTCAATACAATATAATATTTTCATTCCTGTATTTCTAACAATGCATTCCGCTATAAATTTTATTTATGTTGAACTAACTTACATGCATGCCCCTTTATTGAAGGACATTTAAACGAGAAAAATATAAAAGACGAGAGAAAATTTTCACACTGCAGAGCAGAGATGAAAGAAAATATAAAAGAAAAAAAGAGAAATTAAATGCACAACAGTATAAGTAACCAGCAGCAAAAGCAATATTTGACATTGCGCACTTGATGAATCAACCAACTCCTTCAATCTTAACAGGCCTCAAGCACCTGGAATAAGAGGAAACATAATTAGCTATTAGACATTCGAATGTGATATAAATAAAGCGAGCGCTTCTGGCCCCAGACAATTCAGGAAATTAAATCATCATTTTTTTGTTGTTGTTTTTGACAAAATCAGGTTTTCTACCACTTAAGTGAATTAGATATTAAAAAATGAACCAACCCAGAGAAGAACAGCGTGGTCTGCTCAAGAACAAAATATACAAATTGACAAATTGTCTAAATTTTTATTGACTACAGAAAAGAAGGCAAAAAAGAAATTATAACATGATCAACTGCAGTTAATTATGCAGTTAATTAGATATTATGCAGTTATGAAGCCAGTAATTTGGCCATACCTACTCATGATCAACTGCAGTTAATTAGTTCTTCCGACATGCGTTCCACCAGTACCAAGAAGATTGTTCCTGGTGATCTGCAACTTGGTTACTACGTCAATAATATCCAATCGTTCAGTTGGTGACTCTTCTGAACATGCAATTCCAATTTTAAATACCGAAGTTAAGCACTCCTGAATCTTATAACTGCTATCACGGTTTTGATTGAGAGTGTTGTTGGTGCTCATGCTTGCCTCCCTCTCTTCTCTTTGTTGAAGAAGTACTGAATTTGCAATTATAACAGTTGCCTTGGCAAAGTTGTGAAGTTCCAAACCATCACTAAACATTTCATCAGTCGGCCTTTTTCCAGTAAACATCTCCAATAAGAGAATGCCATAGCTGTACACATCACCGGATGTTGACGCCTCACTTCCCATACCATACTCTACAATCCAGACAACCCAGTGCAACAAGAAATGTAAATATCTCTTTAGCAAAAAACATTTTAATTGCAAAATATGGATTCATTATACATTGTTCAGATTTAGGAAAAAATTGCATCTTATTTAATTTTCATATTTGAAAAGATATATAAAATAAATTGAAGAGAAATTTTTATAGGTTTGAACAAGAATAATAATATGTAAAGGCTTGAATGACGCTTAAAACACTCATTCAGTTTTGGTATTTATATACTATAAAGAACACATGTTAATATTACAAGAAATAAAATGAATAAAATCATTGCATATACTATGCCTAGACATATGTGTAAATAAAGTCAAATCCCATAAATATAGTATATCATATCTCGACTAATATGGTAAATTACACCTATGATTCCCGCCTATCATATCTCGGCTAACACTCTCCCTGAAGTTGATGCGTGGATATCTGAGACGCCTAACTTGAACAATGTAACCTCAAACACGGTTCTTTATAAATATATAACTAACGAATGTGTTTGGTTGTATTAAATTGACTAGTCAAGACAAAACAATGGCATTTTCTTCGAACCACTGTACGTCTTATCTGACTAAACTAGTGTCTTGTTAGACCATAAATCATCAACAATGTTGCCTTAGACCAAAACCAACTAACCATGTCTCCTTAGACCATAACCAACTAACCATGTCTCCTTAGTACAGGGATTAAGTCAGATGCCTCGACTACATAAAACCTTAGTCCTAGTTTGAAAAATCACCACTTTACTCGAAATTATTATTTATCAAACTTTCTAGAAAATTATAGTTATTCGAAAACTTTATTTCAAGTATGAAAAAGCTTGTAGAGCATAACAGAATAATTAATTTATCATCTGTCATACACTTCAAATCAGTTATTTGAATTGACTAAATGCTTGTGAACAATATGCATGTCAGTTGCAATTCTGGACCAAAACTTGACAAACATGTTGGATGACCAAAAAGGGTAATTTTGATTTTCAAAACAAGGATTATCAAATATTCCTTCGAGTTCTCTGCCATATCACCTGAGCAAAGCCAGTATAATACATGTAACAAAAGTGGGCAATAACTCCAAAGAGTATTTCTAGACAACTTTCTTTGTTCCATCTAACTTAAACTGACTTGGCGGTGTGATAATACATATATCACCAGAACTCTTTAAGATTTAGGGAAAGAAATGTTAACAGAGAATAAAAAAATAAATAAAGTTGTACAGTTAATACCTGGTGGCATATAACCAACAGATCCTCTGATTCCAACAGAACTGGTTTGGTTTCCACTATCGTTATCGTTAGCATCAAGAACAAATCTTGATATCCCAAAGTCACCTACATGTGCAATCATGTCATCATCCAAAAGAACATTGCTTGGCTTCAGATCACAATGAATTATTGTAGTTTCGCAACGGTGGTGGAGATAATCCAGTGCACAAGCAACATCCATGGCAATATTCAATCTCTGAACAAGACTTAATTTTTTTGGTTCCTCGTATGGCTCAAGTTCTTCTCGATTTGGATGCAACCAATCATCTAGGCTTCCGTTGACCATGAACTCATAAATCAGAGCTTTGAAGTCATTATTTTGGTGATCAACACTTGAACATGCGGTGATTACCTTGACAAGATTCCGATGCCTTATGTTCCTCAACGCCTCACACTCGGTGATGAAACTCTTGGAAGCTCCTGGCTTGAAAAGATTAAGTACCTTCACTGCAACCTTTTTCCCTTCCTGATCAAGAATTCCTTCATATACAGACCCAAAACTACCCATCCCTACCAAATTGGAGTGGCTGAAACCATTCGTAGCTCTATGTAAACTTTGGTAGGACACTTTCAAAAAAAAACTTCCTAAATTTCCTGAAGAAGGCGTTACTCTCTTTTTTTTACACCAGCAAAGAAATAGAATGCACAACAGTAATGTTAATCCAAGAAGCCCTGACGCGACGAGAATTATAATTTTTAATGTGAGAGTTATTCCCCTCTTTTTGGATCCTTTGAAGTTACATGGAGGCCGCCGTAATTCAGGTATACCTCCACAGAGCTTACTGTTTCTAGTGACTGAAACTGCAGTTGCATTTGCAAAGACACCTTTTATTGGTACCACACCCTCAAGATCATTGTAAGATAGATTCAAATTTTGTAAGAATTCAAAGCCCTCAAGATATTCTGGAATTTTCCCTGACAAATTGTTGCGAGAAAGATCTAAACATTGAAGACCTCTCAGAGAGCTCAAAGATGATGGAATGCTCCCTTGTAAGAAGTTACCTGCCATATATAATCCCTCTAATCTCACACAGCTACCAATAGTGCTTGGAATTTCACTGGACAGCATGTTCTCCGAAACATACAATTCACCTAAATTTTTCAAATTTCCAATTTCTATGGGAAGTGAACCAGTGAAACGGTTTTGAGACAAATCGAGAACGATGGATAAGGAGGAGAGACTGACAACTTCTGAGGGTATGGTACCACTGAGATTGTTATTAGAAAGATCAAGTACTAACAAATTTTGACATTTCCCAAGACTTGGAGGGATGTTGCCATTAAGATTATTGCTTCCAAAATCCAAGAGGTTTAACATACTTAAATTTCCCAAAGAGGATGGAATGCATCCAGAGAAATTGTTATCTGACATGTCAAATTTGTTTAGCTTTCGAAGCATTCCAATTTCAGTGGGAATGTTTCCTGTGAACATGTTGCCCCAGAAATTTAGCCAAGTCAAGCTGATTAGATTCCCAATCCCATCCGGGATACTCCCAAATAACTGATTATTGGCCACGTGGAAGAATTCAAGCTTTGTTGAGAAGTTGCTGATGGATTTGGGAAGCATTCCTCCAAAATTGTTGTCGTTCAAAGTCAACATATTTAAATTGGTGGCATTGACCAAAGAGGACAAAAAGTTGAAGTCTTCAATTCCCCCACTCCCAAGATGATTGCTGACTAATTTTAAACGAGTCAGCTTATGCAGTCTCTCCATTGTAGGTACCTTTCCAGTAAGATTATTTGCACTGAAAAATAACGATACCAGATTCGATGCATTGGATATTGTGGTAGGAATTGATCCAGTAAATTGGTTAGTGTAAACATTAAAATATTGAATATTAGGAAGAGTGATGCCTATATCCGAGGGAAAACTGCCTGTGATGTTATTTTGCCTCAGATCCAAACTTGTCAGAGAAGAGAGATTGAAGATTGAAGGAGGGATGGTGCCAGAAAGCCTATTGATTCCAAGTTCAATCATGGTTAGCTTTTTAAGTTGACCAAGTGCGTCAGGGACACTCCCGCCAATATTATTATCGTTTGCAGAAAGTAGCTCTAGATATGACAAGTTCATGAGAGAATGAGGTAAATTTCCTGTTAGGTTATTTTTCGCAACATAAACAACACGGAGCTTTGACAAGGAGCCCAATTCCACAGGAATTGGCCCTACTAGGTTGTTGAATTCCAAAACTAAGGAATGAAGGTTAGAGCAAGCAGATAAACTGGCAGGAATTTTGCCACTTATTGAGTTATTGTTGAGGCCTAAAACTTGCAGTCTCCATAAACGACCAAGCTCTGGGGGGATTTCTTTTCCAAAGCTATTGTTGTGGAGATATAGTAGTCTAAGAAAACTTAGATTTCCAATATACGGGGATATGGATCCAAACAATTTCTGAGACCTTAGGTCTAATTCAGTGACCCTTTTGTGTCGGCGACCACACGTGACACCGTGCCACTGGCAGAAGTGAATGGAACCATTCCATGAACTCATAACCTGAAGAGGGTCATTGGTTATTTTGGCCTTGAAGGCCAACAGTGCAAGTCGATCTGTCTCATTCCCTACAAGCCTGGTGGCTGCAGTGGTAGGCATGCTTGCAAGCCTGGTCAAGCTGATGCAACATGTAACTGTTACATAGATACAAATATTGAAAAGAAGTGACCTTGATATGCATAAGCCCAAGTCTGAAAGCCCCATTCCAGTTCAGAGAAACTTAAGTAGCTCACGTTTCTGCAAAGCAAATACAACATTATTAAATCCTCAAAAATAATCTAATTAATAAGTGGATGAAGAGCATTTTAAAACAAAGAAATATATAAAGCTCCGTTAAAATCTACCTCCAATACGTGAGAGGGATTTAAGTTGCAAAATCTTGAACTCACTTTCCTTGAAATTTATAGGGAAAAAAGAAAATGTCAAGTTGTGATCACACTCAGGGATGTGCTCTGAGGATAACACCAGGCTTGATTTATATACAGCTCTATGTTCAAATTTTCCACCTTTATGATGTTGGCATGGTAGAATTATTTTAATTACTAAATCCATCTCAGATATGTTGGCTGCTTGTGCACTTAAATACCATGACCATGCCAAATGTTAGATATAGCATAAATATAGTGTAGCCTTCGCAGTTAGACTTAACTTAGCCTCATGTTTATATAGCATAGCCTAGCTTAATAAATAATATAAATGACTGCAAACCTTTTCTACCTTACAAGTCATTGTCAAATTATCTGCAAGGTGGCTGAACCGTAAGGTAATTAAGGCGGCCCCTTGTGCCCCCAGTAGAAAAAGAGGTTTCATATAAAAAAAAATTTATTAGTTGGTACTCACACACCTAACTATGCCTCCGCTAAGGCTTGAATCCTGACATTTCTTTAAAAAGTAAGAGACTTCATATAATTATGTTTCCTTAGTATAGTATTAATTACCAACTAAATGCAACTATTATATTGATCAATACAAGTTGATGGAAAAAGAGCCTCCAAATTTTTCTTAGAGTTGGTTTGCGATTGTTTCTCTAATGTTTAAAAACGTTTTTATTTTAAAAATTTGTATTTAGATGTGTTTTCTAACCATTAGAAGCGCTTTTATGGTTAGAAAATTTAGTTCAGTAGGGCATTTGAATGAAACAAGAATTTTGAGCTTTAAAACTAGGTTTTGAGTAGAGGTTGAATATTTTAAGTAACTTTTTTTTCATTAGATAATTTTGTCATTTTTATTTTTTATAAAGATAATTATACTCATTTCTTAATAAAGTTGATATTATCAAATATAATAACATCATAAAAAGAAAATAATTGTAAAATTAACAATAGAAGTGTTTATAAAAAATTGTTACTAAATAAATTTAAAAAGAATTTAATTGTGAAAAGTACTTATTATTCCAACGACAACTCTAAATGGGCTCTTAATGTAATAATTACCAAACAAATAAACAATCAATACAAGTTGCGCCCCAGTGGAAAAGAGGCTCCAAATTTCTCTTTTAATTTATTAATTATCTTTTCTTCAATGTATTATACAAGCTTCTTAAGAAAAGGAGTGCTAAGGAAATCCCCTCCCGTTACTCTCTCACTGGATTGGTCCAGTGAGGGATAAAAAAGCTAACTTGACGGTTGAGTTAAATTTATATTTACCAAATTTTTAATATATAACATATCAATTATTTAATGAATTTGACTTTCATTTCATGGGTCCCAATTGGTTGAAATTTGAACATTCCAAAAGAAAGAACAAAAACCCTAAAAAAGAAGAACCTAGGAAAACGATGCAGAACAGAAGAAGACCACAGGTAAATGATGCAGAACAGAAGAATAACAACTAAAAAAAGGAGTTCTTATTTCGGTCAAAAGGTAAATTTGCGATTTTTTTTTTTTAATCTTTCCGGTTTTGGGAAGAACATCGAAGAAGGCGAACTAGAGTTAGAACAATTTCTTTTCTGATGCAGAAAAGAAGAAAAAGTATTTTAATTTTAGTCAATAGGTAAAGTTGAATTTTATAGTAATGGGAACGGATCCTCCCCAAAAAAAATTTTCTCCAAGTATCTACAGGTATTAATCCTACACCTACTAAGGCGCCACGTCAATAACTCATTTGACTCACTCTATATATTAAAAGTTACGGCACTTTTTTAAAACATCTAACTATGTTAAATTACAAATTTACCCATATTAAAAAACTTTTTATTTCACTTTTTCCTCTCTTCCTTATCTCTCCTATATATGACATATATATACACACACACATGTGAATTGCTTTACTGCTGAACTGCTTTTTTATTTTTTATTTTTGTCAATTCCAATTAAAATCGATTTTGATCCTTCAACTTGTATTTATATCCGATTTAGGAAATTCGATTATAGTTCTCCAATAATTTATATTTAAGAGTTTGAACAGTTTTGTTGATTGCCATCACCAAGCATTGGAATTATTAATTGATTCGAAGGCTTCAAGCTTGAACAGTTTTGTTGATCGAAGGTTTGTCAATGGCGGATCAAGAAAAGGAGCAAAGTGGGTCTGTTCTAGCCATGTATATATATATGTGTGTGTCTCTTCCTTCTCTCTCATATATATATATATATATATGTATGTTATATATATGAGAGAGAAGGAAGAGACGAGAAAGAGAAAAAAAGTTTTTTTTAATGTGGGTAAACCTGTAATTTAATATAATTAGATATTTTAAGTAAATGCAGTAACTTCTAATATATTTAGTGAGTCAAAGAAGTAGTTGACATGATGCCTTAGTAGTCGTAGGATTAATACCGGTAGATGTTAGGAGAGAATTTTTCTTGGAGATGATCCGTTCTCATAATAATAATAACTAAGGGCTTGTGGCTGAGTAATATCCTAATCTACCTCTCAAAATGGACGGTGAAGGTTTGAATTTCTAAATCAGCAAAGTGCAATGTGTGAGTAGTGTGTGTGAATGAGTTTCTTATCTATGATAAAAAATAAAATAAAATAAAAATTATATAGAGTGATATTAGTATATATGGTAAAAAAAAAAAAATATAGCTGAGTAACTGGACAACCGTCTAGCCAGAGAGTAACTGGTTTTTTTCCATGCTAAGGACACTGTTATAGCCATTGCCTATACACAATGGCTCTTATCATTGGTTGAAAATTTAATCATAAAAATTCATTAACGTCATCTTTTCTATTTATGTGGACATTAAAAATGGTAACTTTTTAAGGACAAAACTGCCCTTTCAATATTGGTCTTTCTTCCATGTGTGTGTATATAATACAACTAACTTTTCGGATAAATTCAATGCGTGTATATAACTAAATATATATATATATATAAAGCTAAATTTCATAGTGGATTTTTACCTTTTTATTTTTATTTTTTTCAATTGTCTTTAATGGTTTTTATATATATCAATTGCTTCATCTATTCTTTGTTATGACCATGTCACCAAAGAATATTTATATATATGTAAAAATAAATAAATAAATAAATAAAAAAATAAAATAAATGAAGAGGTATAGTGGTGACGTGGTCATAGCAAAGAATAGATGAAGCAATTGATATATATATATATATATATATATATATATATATATATAAAGAACCCATCCACTTGTAAAAACTAACGTGTGAAAACAAAGACAGTTAAAAAAAAAAAAAAAAACATATATATATATATATATATATATATGGACAATACTTGTCCTATATATAAAGAATCCATCCACTTGTGAAAACAAAGACACTTACAAAATATATATATATACTTCCACTCATTAGTTGTTTATATATATATATAAAGAATCCATCCACTTGTAAAAACTAACGTGTGAAAACCAAGACAGTTAAAAAATATATATATATACATATATATATAAATATTTATGGAAAATACTTGTCTTATATAAAGAATCCATCCACTTGTGAAAACAAAGACACTTAAAAAATATATATATACTTCCACTCATTAGTTGTTTATATATATATATATATATATACATGGAAAAAAAATGCCTATGGAAGATTTAAATACTAGGGTTAATTCCAGTGATACCTCCTGTGATTTGTTTTATTGACAGCTAGATAAAATTTGGCTCTTTTTTAGACAATCACACCCCTTAAAATTGCTAAAGTTAACATTGACACCCCTGAAAATGTTAATTGTTCTTTATAATCTTTGATTTGTGAATTGACTTATTTGAATCCTAAAATTACCATTTTAACTTTTTTATATTCATAGATAAATATATGTATATACACATATATACATAGACAGACACATATATTGGCCAACACTGATTAGCATTTAAAATGTGAATCAATCTCCAGAACAATCGCCAATTGCTGCCAAAAATATATACATACATGGTCCTTGCAATAAAAGAGTTAAATGGGGGCGTCTATATGCGTGTGTGTATTAGTGTGAATTGACCTATTTGTGTGTGTATTAGGATTTTGTTCTCTATATATATACACACACCTTGATGTATTTTGTTCTCCAATGAATATGTTGATATTAAAGCACAACAATCAATTATATATATACTGATTAGGGTTTCTTTAGTGTCTGTTTAGGGGCTAATGGGCAAAAAAACAAGGGTTTACAATTGAAATCATATGCAAAGTGAGAAGAGAGAGAGAGAGAAAATAAATAAATCTCCTCCATGCATGTTCTTCAATTTAAACAAAAATAATAATTAATTCATTCAAATTCAAGCTATATTATAAATAATAATACATCAATAACTCACAAAACAGATCCTTAATTGGGATTTTATGTGATTGTAGCAGCATTGAAGATATTAGGAATTCATTTGAAGATATAAGGCCATTCAATATATCAAATTACCGAATCCTGATATGAGATAAATGATGAGAAGCTTGAATTCTTGAGAGCCCTAACACGTGATTGGTAATTAACTCATCACCGCCACTAGCCACCGCCTCTCGTGAAGGCCACAACAATCCAGATTCTCACTCTCCGCCAATCTCTCCTCACATTACCCCTCTGCAGCCCCACATACTTCTCGCCCTCAGCAGCTTGACTCCCACCGGAAAAATAATCCATCACCAGCATGGAAGACAGATAAAGGGAAAGGCGTTACTTTAATGATATGGGCATTTAGTAACTCTGATATTTTATATTAAAAATTAATTAAATATCAAGGGGCAATTTAGACATTTAATAATCTCTTTTAAGTCAAAAAGCTGCCGGGCCAAA